GTGATACAAGATTTTCGGCTGTATGACAAATAGGCATTTAATTACGGAATTTTTCAAGATTTTACTAATTGTGTTAGCATTACAGTGCCATTTTCACCGTCCTGACCAGCTCTGTGGACCGCTACAAAACAACTGCAAGTCGGATCAGCTCATTTTTAATACCATTGAATAGCCCAGGTTTTTTACTTTAATTTGGAATAAGTTTAACGTCATTTGGTTAAGTAGTAATTTAAATATGAATTAATTACTGTTTTCAAATAGTGTATTTGAAGCAGCTTCAACACTAGCGACCGTTAGAATACCGTTGGGTGATTCACCACCCAAAGGAATTCGCATCCGGTGAAAAAGTAGGTAGTGGCCAAATTACCATCATCTGCCTAATTAGACTCCTAATTACTGGATCAACTTACTTCCAACAGCAAACGTCCTTTCTACTAATAAGAAGTAAAAGTTCGAAGTTTTATAAAATTCGACCAATTAGAACCAAAGTTACTAATTTGCGGCATTAATTATTGGACTTACAAAAATTCAAGAAGTTAGTATGAAAAACTGAAGAAGATAAGCGTCTAATATATACACAGAAGATAAGCATCCAAGTCCAGTGTGAGTTGTGTTTGTGCAAGTGCTATTCTGGTTCATTAGTGCTAATTGGATTACTGTTCCTGCTTTACAGATGAAAAACAGAGAAGATAGCAGCCAAGGTAGGACAGCCTGACATTATAATTAATTATTTATTAATCGCAGATTAACCAACAGGTTGGCTTCAGCCAATACTTGACACTATTTACTACTCAAAATAGGTGTCTAGTATCCTCAGGTTTTACACCGGAAACTCGATTAATTATAAAAGTGTCTACGTAAATATGTGTTAATTAATGATGTATTGTTATTCACATGCTGATTAATTACCGCTAAATTTTTCATAACTTCGCAAAAATGGTGCGATTTTAATAATTCTCAAAATGCCTAGAAGGCTCCTGTTACCCATCCCATTAACTTGACTGTGTATTTAAGTATAGTGCTTAAATTGGTAATTGCGTTAATTACCGGTATAGTCTTATTGCACTCTTGTATTTTTATAATTTTATAGGCTTCTGTATAGACAGCGGCACTTTCACTTTAATTGTACTCTAGGTTCCCGGCACCTTTGAACAATGCTAATTGCAATTAATCTAATTACCATATTTTAAGTCTTTAATTATTCATTTAATTAAGTTATTTATAATTTGTATACATTTCACTGCTAATTTGATTAATGTCCTTTATACAACTTAAAAGGCTTCTTCAAGTGTTTATTATTAAGTGTAAATTAGTGTGCAAAGTAGTGCTAGTAATGACTGTGTTCAATTCAGTGATCAGCGAATTGTGCAAAATAGTGTAACGGGAATTTTACAGTTTTATTGTAGCCAATTTCTGTTTCCACCAAAAACTGCTAAAGTCGATACCGGAGTCAATAAATCAACCGTGCTTGTTGCGAATTAGCACATTCTCAGCAACATCCGACTTCGGAACAGCAGACGCATTCTCAACAGGCCTCAACACCACCACCAACTGTCACCCGACCGACATTTGCAGAGATCGCCTGGAAAACAAAGAAACAAAGCTTTTTCATACGGCCGAAACCCCACATTACAGAAGTGGAGTTAAGAACGCAGCTCAACGCCAAAGTACCCCTCACGAAGATTCAGGTTGGAATAGACAAGATTATCAGAAGTAACAAAGGCGGCATTGAATTGAAGTAATCTGTAACACCAGCGACGATGCCACAGCTCTCGAGCAGCACATCAAGCAAAAAGAAATCCCGGCGGAAATCAGTAGACTTCGGAAGCGCAAGCCAAGATGTGCAATTCACGACCTGCCAGAGTCTACAAAACCCGATGAAGTGCTTGAGGAAATCAGCGCTGCTACAAACATGCCCAATAACACCTTCAAGCCCCTCCACCGTCTCAGAGAACGACGTAAAGGAAACGTCAAGTGGGTATTCGAATGTGAGCCCACAAGCTTTAGTGCCATCATGCAGCAAAGGAAGATCTTCTTGGGATGGCAGGCCCACAAAGTCACAGAGTACTCTGGCATCAAGAGATGCTACAGATGTCAGCAGTACGGGCATACGCAGCAGCAGACTGCAAAAGCCAAAAGCAATACTGTTCATTCTGCGCTGGAGAACATGGGGTTTGGGAATGCAATGCACATCAACCGCAGTGCATTAACTGCGGGGACGCAAACTCACGCTATGGATCAAGACATAATTTTACCCACCCAGCCTACCCACCCTGACTGTCCGCAGTACCAGCGAAGAGTGCAGACCATCAAAGACAGTACAGAGTACTAGAAGCCTGCCAGCGCCTTTAATGCGCTCAACAGCAACCTCACGTCCCGACGAAAGTTTCCAAAAAATAAATACGGCTAATATAGCACAGAGCCCAATTGCATTCCTACAGATAAATTTACAGAGGGCACAAGCAGCGACAAATAGAGCAGTAGCATTTGCCATCGAGCACAGTATCGACTTCATTCTAGCACAAGAACCGTACACACGAAATGGCCAAGCAGTGGGATTCCCACTTAAATGGACGATATATCAGCAGCAAGAGAAGACGCAACCGCCCCGCGCTATCCTAGTATGTTGTCAACCTAACTGGACTCCTCTGATTATTGAGCAGCAAAGAGACTTAAGTGCAGTCCTTCTTCAAGCCAGCAACTTCTCACTTCTTCTCATTTCGCAATATGCTTCCCCAGCTGAGGATTTAGAAACCACGATTGAACTAGCACAGTCAGTTCTCCAACGAACCAAGCTGTCAAACGTCATCATAGCTGGAGATTACAACGCTCATCATACCAACTGGGGCTACAACAGTACCGACACCAGAGGAAGACAACTTGAGGATTTCATATCAACACATAATCTCATTCTCCATAATTCCATAGATTCTCCACCAACCTTTGACAGAATTTTTGCTGTTGGCTGGCCGGATTTGACCCTCTCTACGGTGCCGATTGCCGATAGCACAGCATGTGCAGGACTGGAAGGTAGAAGAAGCTGATAGCTTATCAGACCACAAATTTATCACCTTCAAACTCAATAGCCTACCACAAATAGAAATTATTAAACGTTATAACATGCCATCAAATAAGAAGCGACAGTTCTCTCGGAAAATTGATCAAAGATTAAGCAATCTAACCCCAGTCCTAAAAAATGCCAATACACAAAGTGATATGGAATCGCTAACCGACGACATCATGAAAATTCTTCATGACACCTGCGAAGAGCTCTTACCAACAAGATCCAAAAAGAAATTAAACGCCACTAACTGGTGGAACACAGAGCTCACCATCCAACGGAAAAAATGCCGTGCGCTCAGACGCAGATTAAAGCACGAACGGCGTAATGAAATCCAGAGCACTACCCTACCTATCTTTCAAAGAGAGCGAGCATTATATAAACGGACTAATAATCAAGGCCAAGATCCATTCCTGGCAAAAATTTTGTACTGAAACGGAAGGAATTTACGGGCTGCACCACAAAATAGCCACTAACAAGCTCTTTAAACCCGTGCGTCTTCAATTCATACCATCAGAGCAATCACTAATTACGGAAGAATCCACCAAAAATACGCTAGAAAATATCCTGGACCATGTCTTTAGTCAAGATGACAATTCTGACGACTCGGAATATCATAAATCTCTACGCAGTAAGTAACAATCTACTCCGTCTACTGCAGACGATCCAGACTTCACCATGCAGGAAGTTTTACAAGTCCTGAAACTCCTTCCCAATAACAAGGCACCGCGACCAGACGGGATAAGCTATCAAATCATCAAAACAGCAATAAGAGCATCTTTGCCACTTTTTATAGCCTTCTTTAATAAGCTGCTACAAACAGGTACGTTCCCAAAAGCCAGGTCGTATTATTCCTAAAAGGTCGGCCAGGTCGTATTATTCCTAAAAAAGGATCGCGATCCTTCAGATCCATCCTCGTACCGACCGATCTGCTTACTTTCGGCTCTCGGAAAAGTATATGAGAAGCTTCTAATGAATCGCTTACGACACCACTTAGAAAGAGGCCAATATCTACACCCCAAGCAATATGGATTTCGAACAGGGTCATCAACACTGCATGCACTCCACGATATACATTCAGCTATACACGATAATCGCAACCACGGCTATCATACTGCTCTAATCAGTATAGACATGAAAAGTGCATTTGATATGCTGTGGTGGCCCTCAATTTTAGAAGCACTCAGAACAGTTCAATGTCCACGCAATATTTTCCTTACTTTGCGACATTACCTAACGGACCGTTGCCTTCTAATAGTGCACGACAGATAGTGGATTATCAAGCGTACCCAAACCAGAGGATGTCCACAGGGGTCCTGAGCAGGCCCCCATTTGTGGAACACAACCTTCAACTCAGTCTTAAATTTCACACTGCCAACGCATTCCTCCATATTCGCATATGCAGACGATGTTGCTCTACTTGTCCGAGGACGTACTAGAGCAGAATTGGAGGCCAGCTCAAATGAAGTTTGCAATCTATTCTACCAGCGAGGATCACTGACTAGAAGACCGACAATCCGCATCAACAATCGTCGAATTAAAATCGTCCTGTCCTGAGATACCTCGGCCTATACATAGATTAAAAACTGACATGGATGCCGCGCATACTTAAGGAAGCGTATAACAACCATAGCACAGCATTTCAGAATGCAACGCGGATTTCATTGGGGGATTAATTCTCACATACAAAAAGCGTTATATCTTACTGTCGTCGAGAAGATGGTGTCCTATGGAGCGGCCATTTGGGCCTTCCCTATGCAGGGAAGGAAAATCCGGCACCTGTCTGCACTACAGAGGCCCTTCCTACTCTCAATTACAAGAGCCTTCAGGACAACATCTACTGATGCACTAAACATCTTGGCAGGAGTGCTACCACTTCATCTACGCATAGAAGAAGCGGTGACACAACAGGTTCATCAGTTAAGACTTTCACTTACTTATGATTACGTTACCTTCTCTCAAGAACAGTTTGAGAATAAGACCTCACAACTTCATATACACCCAGCAATCAAGGGTATTTGGAATTCACCTCACGAAGAACCCAGCATATGTTGCACCATCCGGCTACATCTCCATCTACACAGATGGTTCTCGTATTGACGAAAAGGTAGGCAGCGCCTTTGTCGTGCTCAGTGAACAACAACAACCCCTTCACCAATGGCAGATGCAGCTCAGCACTGAAAACAGCGTTTTCCAGAGTGAAGCACTCGCCATTCACGAGGCCATACGTTATCTAACGAATAATAAAATCTCCAAAGCCTTAATACATACAGATAGCCTGTCTTCTATGCAAGCAATTGCCAATTCAGAACATACCTCCTCGCAAATAGCAGGCATTCAAAAAAGTCTACGTGAAAATGCTCACAATCATTACGTCATAAAATGGATTAAAGCGCACACAGGTATTTATGGCAATGAACTTGCAGACGGCCTGGCAAAAGACGCCGCCACTGGGAACAACATTACTACAGTACAGATCCCATGGCCTACCTCATATCTAAAAAAGACCTTACGGACAAATTGTTTGCAATAAATGGCAGCAGGGGTGGACGAACAGCTTGACCGGCAGAAGAACTTTTTACTTCAAGCCAAAAGTAGATTTACAAAGACTTATCGCCAATCCCCTCTTGGTACGTTACATATCCGGTCATGGCCTCTTCCCACAGTACTATCATCGACAAGCTATCACCAGCACTGAGGAACGCATCTGTGGTGAAGAAGGCTCATCAGACCATTACATCACTGCATGTCCCCTTACAGAGGACCACCATATTGCCATTCCTATAACGGATCGGCAGGCCTTCTGCAGGTTCCTCGTTAAGCATAAGCCAACAATACGCCAAATCACTGCCATCATGTCAAAGCTAATGACACTTGACAAGAGAATTGTGTGAAACTGCTTAATGTAATTTATGGTGTCAAGCAGCATAATGACTACTGCATATGAATCACAAATTTATGCACCTACTATGCCTATAATCACATCAGACTATTTATATACAGACTGCACCCCAATCTGCAGATTACCTTTCCTTGTGCGATTGATAATGTTACAATATTTCAACATAGTGACTTTTTCTGCATGTATATTACATGCAAATTAACCTGCATTATATAATGTGTGTAGTATGCGAAATGCAGGTTTGTAATATGCACTATGTAAAACTTGGCACAGAATTGTAACAAACTGCTTAATGACTACTGCATATGAATTACAAACATATGCATATAGTATGCCTATTAATCACATATCTGACTATTTATATACAGACTGCACACCAATCTGTAAATAACCTTTTCTTGTGTAAATTGATAATGTTACAATATTTCAACATGGTGACTTTCACTGCATGTATATTACCTGCAATATGTATTGTGTGTAGTATGTAATATGTAGGTTAGTAATATGCACCATGTAAAATGGGCAAACATCGCCAATGAACACAATGAAAATATAATGTTTACCTAACTCATCGAAATTCTATTTATAGTCGATTCTGTGTACCGTGCAAGACTTTAAATAGTAATCAATGAATAATGTTAATCTAAGTATCTAACTATGTGTAATAAATAGAATCTAACAGCAATAAAGTACCTTAAACACAAGTATTAATCATTTTCACAAAGTACCTCAACATAAGTATTATTCAATTTCCCAGTAATTGTAAACTGTACTATTTAATGTGTGTAATATGTACCATGCTAATATTGTAGTAATATGTATCATGCTAATATTATTGTAATATGTACCATGCTAATATACTAAGTAATTGTAATCTGTAAATACGTGTAATATGTACCATGCTAATATTCTAAGTAATTGTAATCTGTAAATGTGTGTAATATGTACCATGTCTCAGTAATTGTGTGTAATATGTACCGTGCTAACACTCTCAGTAATTAAACTTAATCAATCTCTCACTAAATGTTAAATGTACTATGAAAATCACTAATCAATCTCTCACTAAATGTTAAATGTACTATGAAATGTGTGTAATATGTACCATGTAAGTATTAATTAATATTATTAACTATTAATCAACTTCTTAGTAAATGTAATCAGTATTATGTAATGTGTGTACTATGTATCATGCAAGTCTGTAAATAATAATGAATGCATAATGTTAACCTAAGTACCTAATTAAGTATGATTACGTAAACATGAACTCAACGGATGCAAAGTACTTTAAACATAAGTAATGTACAATTTTCCAGTAAACGCAATATGTAGTATGTAATGTGTAAAATATGTACCATGCAATATGATTGCATATGTATCATACAAGCCTGAAGTGCAAGTCTGAATGGATTAAGTACTTTAAACACAAGTATTCATCAATCTCTCAATAAATGTAAACTGTACTATAATAAGCAAGTAATATGCACCATGCAAGTATTAATTAATATCATTAACTATTAATTAACTTCTTAGTAAATGTAATCAGTATTATGTAATGTAAGTATTATGTACCATGCATGTCTGTAAACAATAATGAATGCATAATTATGTTTAATTAATATTGAAATTATAAACCTTAGGGATGCAACGTACCTTAAACATAAGTAAAAACAATTTCTCAGTAAATGCAATATGTAGTATGTAACGTGTGAGAGTATGTACCATGCAATATGAATGTATATGCATCAATCAAGTCTGAATATGCAAATTTGAATAGGGTATAGAACATATAATAGTCAGGCAAATCAGAATATGGTAATAGGTACCATGCAAGTCTAAACATAACGATAATAAGTACTATTAAATTTCTCAGTAATTGTAATCTGTACTACTTATTGTGTGCAATATGTACCATGTTAATATTATTGTAATATGTAACATGCTAATATTCTCAGCAATTGTATTCTTAGTAACTGCAAACTGTAAATGTGTGTAATATGTACCATGCAAATATACCCCATGTCTCAGTAATTGTGTGTAATATGTACCATGTCAATATTCACAATACTATTTAATGTGTATAATATGTATCATGCTAATTAATTAGTATGCACTATTTAATGTGTATAATATGTATCATGCTAATTAATTAGTATGCACTATTTAATGTGTGTAATATGTACCATTGTGTGTGATATGTACAATGCAGACTGTAAATAATAATTAATGCGAAAAGCCAACCTATGTGTTAACCTAAGCACCCAACTATACATACTTATAGTAAGAATTGAACCAAACAGATGTAAAGTAACTTAAACATAAATATTAAGTACCCTAAACAAAAGTATTAATCAATCTCTCAGTAAATGTAAACTGCACTACGAAATGTGTATAATATGTTCCATGCAAGTATTAATTAATATTATTAATTAATAACTAAATTCTTAGAAATGTAATCTGTATTATGTAATGCGTGTACTATGTACAATGCAAGTCTTCTCAGTAAATATAATCTGTACTATGTAATGTGTATAATATGCACCATGCAAACCTGTAAACAATAATGAATGCGTAGTGTTAAACTATGTGTTAACCTAAGTACCTAAGATGTAAGATGTAAAGTACCTTTAACACAAGTATTAATCAATCTCTCTGTGTGTAATATGTACTATGCAAGTCTGTAAATAATAATGAATGCATAGAGTTAACCTAAGTATCTAATCATGTATAATTAACGTAAATATTGAACCTCACGGATGCAAAGAACCTTAACCAACAACCTTTAATGTCATATTCAATTTCCCAGTAAATGTAATGTGTAATATGTAATGCGTGAAATATGTACCATGCAATATGAATGTAAATGCACCATGCAAGTATGAATAAGCAAGTCCGAATATGGTACGGCATGTATAATAGTCATGCAAGTCAGAGTATGGCAATATGTACCATGCGAGTCTGAATGGGTAGCGATAACCTAAGTACTTAATTATGTCATTCTAGATAAGGAGGAAGTGGTGCTCATACCAATTAACCGTAACGGTAGAGGGATGGTGCCCACGTCCTCCGTCACTCACTCACTCACTCACTCTTTTTTCGTAAAAGGTTTTCAATTCAAATTCTTTCGTGGCATTAATATTTACACCACTCAAACATTGCAAACACAGAATAGGATTTCTCCCTCAGTTGAATTGAGCAATATATAATTTAATTTATGGCTGGAAAAAAAATTGAAGTCACTTTTTACCTTACTTTAAATAAAAAACAAAAATATATTGTTTAAGATTTTTAGTCAACTTGAAATGTAAATATTAATATCGTTCATCAACATAAAATTAATTCGCAGTATTATGCATGATAATATTTACATTCAAAGAACTGATTTGTTTAGAATATGTTAAAGCACACGATGTCTATTTGCCTAAGTGGGAGGAATTCTAGGGAAGAATATTCTAAGGGTTATTACCTCATATTCAAGCTACATATGGGGAAATCCATGAAAACTCCCACAGGTCGAACTACCAGTCGTTTTCCACTTGTGGATAATTGCAAATAAAAAAATTCCTTTTAGATCCAGCCACCAATAGTAGTCAAGTGGTTAAAACAGCTAAATACTCGTAGTTTGACACAATTTCGAACCCAGGTGAAAGGACTGATTATAAGGTTAGTTTTCGTGGTTAAAAAATGAAAGATGAAAACGCGCAGAAATGGAAACATTCGCTATCTTCTGTCTAATACAGGGAAAAGGAATACCTGTGCAGAAGATAATGTTTTTGTATGGTGAGGAGTATCTTTAGGGTTCCGCACAGACCTGCATGTGCAGCCACATGGAATTCACAGTTCTAAGAGGTATAAAGATGACATACTGGATGCTATCGTTCGTTCATATGCTGCCTCAATTGACGATACTTTCATTTTGCGAGCAGATAATGCTTGCTTTCACACTGATCGATTCTTACAATAATTACTTAGAAAAAGAAAATATTGTCCAAATTCAAATACACTCTGTTTCGACTTTAATCATATCAAGAATGTTAGGGATTCTCTCATGAGGCGCGTTGCTGGCCTCCAAATATCTTCTCAAACCCTAGATTGACTTAGACCTGTTTTAGAGGATCACTGATTATTGCTATCCATGCAGCTCATTCGCAAAATCCTAAAACAGCTTATATTGCTGATCGGTGGGATCATATTCACTTTAGTGTCTGATCCTCCTAAATGTTAATTTTAAAATTAAGTAGCGCCTTCTAGATGAATAAAATTGTTAGTCGGAAACAGGCATTCAGCGGAAGAGGCGGGATGTTTATTCCTTTTATATAAATTAAATAACTTAGTGTGTTGCAAATAAACGAAAAAGGTAATGGTGTTATTATCTATGTACAAAAAAATTCCTGGAGGCTAGGAAATTCTTGCGTTGCACATTTGCGGATTCAGAAATATACCCGAATAGTCCACTGTTTTGGTAATTTATGTAATTCGATTATTTAGTAGCAGGGAAAGGCTTTGACATTAAAGGCTTAACTATTATTTTGTTCTAGTGGCTAAAGAGTTACGCCATAACGCTGAAGCAAATCACAAATTAATTGCTTTGAAGAATTTAATTTAAAAATGTCACAATTCGACAAAGATTTTAG